CTGTATTGTTTCGTTGAGAGAGGAATTTCATCTGTAGTTTTTATGTAATTTCATGAGTCATTACATTCGTACCCTGTAACCGATCACCTGGAAGCTGGACTTGATAAGGGAATTTCGCAAAAATTCTAAGAATACTTTGTTTTTCTTCAGAATTTAGATTTTCCAAATGGAGACTATCGCCAAGTCTTTTCATTCTTTCTTCGACAGATTCTGCTTCAATTCCATAACAGGTTTTTTGATTGGTTTTTCAGAATAATTCTCCATTTCCTCAATATATTGAGCAGGAATATTGAGTTCTCGTTCTTCCTTGTTGTAATTAATTACATAAATCCACATAACCTTTATTACTGGTTACTAAAGCCTCTCCCCCATAAAGATTTTCTCTCAAATTTAATCGTGGTAAATACCCTTGTTTTATTTCTGTGTTCAATACTTTAATATCCACCTTTTTCTTGCAACGAGCAGGAACTGTCACTCTAGTTTGCATTAGTGGAATTTTGATTCCCTTATTATTTATTCGCAAACTGCTGTCAGAAAAACAGAGCATTGCTCTTTCGTCTCGTAAGAACTGCGCACCGAATATACCGTCGTATTTAATGGGGAAATCTGCACGAATAATCTGAAATTTGCATGTTACGGAATCAAACGTGATTTGAGCTTCGCCAATTGTCTCATCTGATCCTGGGGTAATACCTCTCAATGAAAAGCGTTTATCTCGATTAATTTTGATACCCGGTTTGAATGCATTTTCTTTCAATAAATTAATATCAGCCCCAGAGTCGACAATGAGTCAATTCTTCATGTTTACCAAATCATCACTTGGGATAGTGACACAAGGGAGTATCATCTGCTCAGCTTGATTGGTGTTAATCGATGCTGATTTGAGGGAGTTTTGAGAATTTGAGTGAGAATTTTGTCTATTGACATTGTTGGAATTATTATAACGACAATTGCGTGTAGAATGCCCAGTCACTTTGCAATTAACACAATAACCCGGTTTATACTGACTGTGACATTGGTTCATCATGTGGCCCGTTTTCCCATGAGCNCCTCTCAATGAAAAGCGTTTATCTCGATTAATTTTGATACCCGGTTTTAATGCATTTTCTTTCAATAAATTAATATCAGCCCCAGAGTCGACAAGGAGTCAATTTTTCATGTTTATCAAATCATCACTTGTGATAGTGACACAAGGGAGTGTCATCTGTTCAGCTTGATTGGTGTTAATCGATGCTGATTTGAGGGAGTTTTGAGAATTTGACTGAGAATTTTGTCTATTGACATTGTTAGAATTATTATAACGACAATTGCGTGTAGAATGCCCAGTCACTTTGCAATTAACACAATAACCCGGTTTATACTGACTGTGACATTGGTTCATCATGTGGCCCGTTTTCCCACAAGCATAACAAATTGTTTGATTTCTCATTGTATTATTACCTGAACTCTGAGTCTGTGTAACATTTACTCTGGCTGATCTGTGTGATCGATTGTGTGGATTATGCGGTCCGTAATTTTTATAATGACCATTCTGATGATTTGGCGAATAATGCAGAGAGGGGCAATTGTCCTGGCTTTCTGTGTTGTTTGAAATTTTATTTTGCTCGTGCTTGAAAATATCGTTACGTTCTTCAATCTCTTTTTGTTTTTCAATCGCGATTTTAACTGCTGCTTCGAAATTTATCGGTTTTTCATTTGAAACTTGTGAACTCAACTCACCCCTCAAACCGCGAATAAAACTATCGCGAGCTCCCTCTTGTGTTGTCACCAAAAGCCCGGCTGAAAGTTCAATTGGATATTTCTCTTGAATTAATTCTGTAATTCCTTGAAGAACAACATTTATTCTCGCGACATAATCGATGATTTCTTCTTTCGGTTTTTGATGAATAATTGCCAGTTGACCCTGCCATTGAGAAAGTGTCTGGCGAGGTGCAAATGCTTGTTTGAGATTAGCAAAAATACTGTCAAGAGTCAAAGTAGTCTGATTTGCAATATATTTGCTGGCTCTACCGGAAATCTTTGATTTTATCAGTTGTATGAAATAAGTGTGATAAGTCGGTGATGCAAGCGAAACTGCTTGTTTGCACAAATCGATGAAATTGTTTACTGGGATATTGTCTCCATTGAAGTTTGGAATTAAGTTTGAAATATCTTTGATGGACATTGAAGGCAGAGATTCTTGGCTGCTCGTACTCGCTCGATTTCCTGATACTGATTCTGATTGTAACACATTATTTGTGCCATTACTTGAAACATCACTCGCTGAATCTAATGGGTCTCTAACATTTCCCGTTTGTACAGATTCCCCCCTTCTTGTAGTTCCCCTGGTAGCTCCTCTGACAGGCGGCATTTTACCGTTTAAAATTAAAATTTCCTGGGTGAAATAATTATTTTAGAATTCCTAATAAATGCTTCTCTCTTCTAGAAAAACTAACTGAACTGAAAATTTTGTGCTCTCTCTACAAGGNTTCAATCTCTTTTTGTTTTTCAATCGCGATTTTAACTGCTGCTTCGAAATTTATCGGTTTTTCATTTGAAACTTGTGAACTCAACTCACCCCTCAAACCGCGAATAAAACTATCGCCAGCTCCCTCTTGTGTTGTCGCCAAAAGCCCGGCTGAAAGTTCAATTGGATATTTCTCTTGAATTAATTCTGTAATTCCCTGAATAACAACATTTATTCTCGCGACATAATCGATGATTTCTTCTTTCGGTTTTTGATGAATAATTGCCAGTTGACCCTGCCATTGAGAAAGTGTCTGGCGAGGTGCAAATGCTTGTTTGAGATTAGCAAAAATACTGTCAAGAGACAAAGTAGTCTGATTTGCAACATATTTGCTGGCTCTACCGGAAATCTTTGACTTTATCAATTGTATGAAATAAGTGTGATAAGTCGGTGATGCAAGCGAAACTGCTTGTTTGCATAAATCGATGGAATTGTTTACTGGGATATTGTCTCCATTGAAGTTTGGAATTAAGTTTGAAATATCTTTGATGGACATTGAAGGCAGAGATTCTTGGCTGCTCGTACTCGCTCGATTCCCTGATACTGATTCTGATTGTAACACATTATTTGTGCCATTACTTGAAACATCACTCGCTGAATCTAATGGGTCTCTAACATTTCCCGTTTGTACAGATTCCCCCCTTCTTGTAGTTCCCCTGGTAGCTCCTCTGACAGGCGGCATTTTACCGTTTAAAATTAAAATTTCCTGGGTGAAATAATTATTTTAGAATTCCTAATAAATGCTTCTCTCTTCTAGAAAAACTAACTGAACTGAAAATTTTGTGCTCTCTCTACAAGGCATGGACGAGGCTGCGGCCCGATCAGTGTATCTCGCTACTACTCAGTAAAACCGCAGATAACCTGAGCAATACCCTGACTTGTCCATCCTCCAAAATGACACTTATTTCTAGACTTACAATTCTTTTATGAATTACACATAATCCAATTGCTTCACTTGTCAATATAATTTTCTCTTTGATTCACTAATTGCCCATAAATTTTCACTACCACTTCGCACTTTATTCTGCTCGATGAATCCTCTGGAAACTGCCTGGCTGCAACCGCCCTGGACCTCTTAGCTGGAACTGCCGGAACTCCACTTCACTCGACCCCGACGTTGACAGGAAAAATCTTTAATTGAATTCAAAAATTCAAATTCCACTTCCGATGAATGTGGCTATCCCACCGCTGTCACCAATTGTTATGTCCTATCCAAGTTACTAGGAGGACAGTAGCGCCATTTGGAATATTGAGCGCGAAACTTTGAAGTGTGGATCCGTTAGCCGCTAAACCTCTAATGAGGACTCCATCGATGTTGACTCGTTCAATGATAGGATAATTGGATTGAAGGTTTATTTGTGACTAAATCCAAACACTAGTGCTTAGGAGAGCACATTAACACTTTTATTCAAAATAACTCTTGACTCAAAAATCTAAAACTTGGACTACAAACTGGATGAACTCCAGTAGTCCTCTAATAAACTTATAAAAACTCGTAAAAACTCTGAAGAAAAACTACTTGAAGAAAGAAGCTTGGAAAGTTGTCGAAACAACAGCCACGATGGGACTGGCTTAAACTTAAGTTTTAAATCTAAGGGTTGGTTCAAAACACCTCCACTAGACCAAAAAGTTGCGCGCGCAATCCTGGCCTAGAAGAAAGGGAAGAGGGGTAAGCCAAAAGAGAACAGGGGAAAATGAAAAGAGGGTGGAAGGGAAAGCGTGCGACATTGCCAATTTTCCTCTTGAGGGGTCTCAGGCCCTCCGCGTAGGAATGCAATGAACAAAGGAGAACCCAAACACGTGTGGACTACTTGAAACAGAGAAACTTTCGAAATATACCAAAATTGAGATTTTACGATTTCACGACTGTGACCGATCTATTTATTTTTCTCTCTGAGTTTAGAATTTTCAGGAAAAGCCTTTCTGTAACGAATTTTGGAGAGTAATAAATTGAGAACTTAACTCAAGTACTTGACATTTACGATTGCTGGCAACGGTTTTTCTTACACTCGTCAAATTATTTTTTGTCCATATATCTTTATTTATGAATACAGATATTGTGATTTAGAGAAGATCAAAAATTGTCCCATTTTGCCCCACCTTCCCCTACTATAAAATGGAATCAAATTTTTGCAGAAGTAAAAACAGAAAATGTTGTGAAATCATAAAATTAAATTAATTATACGCATTTGAATGAAATGAAACTCTTTATTTTAATAATTTCTAGTCATTTGAACAGAAACATTTGAATTGGATGAAATGAACAATTCATTAACTCCAGATAAATCCTCTATTGAAATGAAATGAAAGCTTATTTGATCGAAATAAATAATTATTGCACGTGAATAGATCCATTCTCCAAGCAATAATTCTATTTCTACCTAATGAAGTCCTTAATTAGTTCAAAGACATATCCATGTCAATTAAAAACTATTTTTTTAATGTGAAATAAAAACACGAATGAACAGCATTTTAATAAACTCATTTATTCCGTTCCTCCCACCCATTTCCTCGGGTATAAACGACGTTTACTTGAGAATAAAAAGATATTTCCCACCAAATGCCATCACATCCCATTTTTCCACGTGTAAACACTACAAATATATGAAATTTCCTTATATTTTACTGATAAATCACTTAAATTTTGCAGTATTCTGAAGATGTTCTGAAGATCCAGGGGGTGGAGACAATCCCATCGTGTCTCAAATTTAAAAAAATGGGTTTTGTTCCTTTCATTATGGATTATGATCATGTTATATTAAATAATCAGCTTCTTTCGGAGACCCAGGGGACAGGACACGATGATGTTTCCAATAAAATTTCCAATAGGCCCTCTGAGCATTGCGGTCCTCTCAGATACCCTGAAATTACAAAAATCAACAGGTCAGGAGGGTGAAACTGTCTGGAATGACGTGTGGTACGAAAAATCAAGGGAGAGAACTTGTTTCAAGCTTCAGGAATAATTTTTCGAGGGGATTAAGACGTTGAATTCACCTGAACAGTTGCCGAGGGGTTCTCTAGTGGCTCTGACTATCTTGGATCCCAGGATTCATCTTCATGAGAAGAGGAGGAAGGCTGTGCTGAGGCAGAATGAGCACAGGGAGATGTTAAAAGTACCTGAGGGAGTGGCCGAGAATCCTCTGTGGGGGGATGGGTTCAGGGAGAGAGTTAAGGGGGAGCTTAAGTAGAGTAATGAGATTAATAAGTTGAGGGAGGGGAATCTTGTGCCTAGGGTGCAGTATGATGAGGAAATCGTGGGGAAGGAGCCAGTTATTCTTGTGCAGTGCCCTGGGGCCAGTGGTGGAGAGAAAAGCAAGAGAGAGAATTTCCCTGACCTGTCGTAAGGGACTGCTGCCTCCACTGGGAGGTGCCTGTTCAATTTCACTGGTGGCCAGAGGTGCCTCCTGCAGGTTCAATGTCTGAACTGCTTGGGATAGAGATGGAAATGCTGACAGGACATTCCCCAGTTCAGGTGACATTGAGCTCGAGATGTACTCTTTCTTCGCTGGGGAACTGAAGGCGTCAGGGGTCATGAGGTTGAGACTTGCTGAGTGATACTGATTCCTCTCCATTCTCTTCAGCTATTCCATTCTGCTCGTGACGAATGTGCTGGGGGTCCTCTGTGTAGTCCAGGGAGCCGTGGGTGAGGGTGTCCATAAGACAAGCATTCGAGACGAGTTTAACGGGTTAAAAGTCTGTGTCACTCTTGGAGAGACTTTGGCTGCGTCAGGTACATCCTGAGGGGATTAATGGGTGATTAATAAAAAAAAAGTATTTTGATTCTTCTTTGTGAATTATTATATAGATGATTTCGATAAAATCGTGAAGTTAATAATGAAATTATGAGGGAAGAATATGGAAATTTCAATTAGATTTTTGTTTGAATTTCTATTTTGATTTTCATGTGTGAGTTATTGTCTAGAAATTTTCAACAAATTGTTGAGGGTAACATGAATTAGCAATTGAAGAATAATAAAATTAAAAATAGGCATGAGTCAATTTTAAATTCAATTTCTTTTTGTTGAAATTATTCTTTTGTAAATATTTTTATGGAAAACAGTCAATGATTCTTCTGCGTGAGTCATTCTCTTGGTATTTTTTGTGTAGAAGTTCTTGGGTATAAATTTTCCAAGTTTTTCCTGCTGTTTTTTTTTGTTTCTCAACGCGAAATCCAAGAGAAATAATTGAAATTCTTAGTAGAATGAACAGAATTCGAATAGAACTCCAGAAGAGTTTTTTTTTCATTTATCAGATAGAAAAAATTCAGAAGAATTTTCATAGAATTAAAAATTAAATTTCAATTAAAATTTAATTAAAAACTCTTTCTCTACCATTTCTCAATAGATATATAGTGACAAAAAATATAACTAGAAGAAGAATCAAAAGATGACTAACCTGATGACGAGTTGATCCTCACTCTCATCCTCACAAGGACAAAGATCCTCCAGGGACTCCCCAGTGGGTCGAACCATCCTCATCCCAGCATCACCAATGGCAAAACTGAGAATGGAGTAGGGAAGAAGGAACTCTGACAGTAGTCCAGTCGGTGAGTGTGAAAAATCGTGTTTGTCGTCGACTTTACGAGATTAGTCACCGATTTTGATGATTTTTTTTTTAAATGCTCAGGAGAGCATATAAATGAAATGTGGCCTAACGGCAAGGTGTGCTTTTTGTTTATAAACAAAATACGTATTGAATAGGCATCTTTTGATTGAAATATCTCGGAAACTATTGAGAAGTTATCGAGACATATAGCGTAAGTTATTTAGAGAATTTAACGACGAACAAAATGGTTTTTTACTCATGTTTCTACGACCAATAGTTTGCGAGATATTAAAAATTGTTGTTTGGCGCGCGCTGCTGTGCGCGCGTTGCGTCATGAACAAATGTCTGTAAATCAGCCAAAAATTGATATTTTTTTATTTTTTTTTTTGTTTTGAAATTTAGATAATTCTCATTATCTTCAAATTTTTTTGAATTTTTTACAATCATTTTTAACAATTAATTTTCCAAAAACATTGAATTTTTACAAATTTCTTTAAAAAAAATATTTTTGATGATAATACCGATTTTTTTGTTTGCGTATAGTTATGAAAAATATTGTACGTTCGAGAACTATTCAAAAAAAATTATATTTTTTTTTTGTTGAAATAACCCGCGCATTTACACTTGGTCTCTTCGCTGTAGGAGCGACAGAGACAACGTCATACGAGTTCTTGCATGGGAAAGAGAGGCACTCTTCACTCATTCAAACAAAATTTGAATTCTCATATCTACATTGTTTTTTTTAATGAAAAAAAATGCCAAATTAATTGTAGAAGATGGCGGAGGGGGGAGTGATAGTCTGTACTAGATAAATTCATTGGGAAAATTGTTTTTAATGATTTTTTCATTTTTTAAAATCAATTTAGAGGGTTCCTGGTCAGTGTGGTCCACTTTGAGGGTGGTTTTACAAAGTTTTATGTATAGGAAAAATCCCAAATCAATTGTAGAAGATGAAGGAGGACAGAGTGATAGTTTTTACATAAATAATTCCTTGAAAAACATTGTTTTCAATCATTTTTTCTATTTTTT